AAATGCTTTAAATGCAAGCGAAACAACCGATTCAATCAGTGCTTCGTTCAGATCGGATGGTGGCCTGTGTGGCAAGTTCTAGGTCAACTGCGGACGTTAACTGTGCTTGATCATTTTGGCTGCGTGGAAGAACTTTGCCTAAGCTCGCCTCCATTCGTCGAATGTCATGCCTGAAATGATGAAAATTCTCATTTACTGCCAGTGCGGGCTGACAACCACTTGGATCAAGTTGATGGTTGCGCTTTAGAGCTAACTCTACTTGAAAGAAGCCTGTTTCCTGAAGTGGTGCAGAACGACTGCTACTGCTTTTGCGTGCCTTTCGTCATTTGACGCTGCAGATCAGAAGCAGTCAGGTGGTTGGTGGAAAATTTCAGCGAACGCGATCGACATGCAACATCAGTTTTTGCGTTGGCAAGCGCCCGAAGCTCTTACACATTTGAGAGAGCGCGATTGTTTCTGACCTGGTCTGAACGGACAGCAGCGGTCCAAATCTGAGAGCAGCTTGCTTCAGCTATCAAGAGTGAAGCAGAAGATCAGGCCTTGCTATGACGACACTAGTCTGGCAGTTCTGTTCCGAGGCGCTATTACCATGGGGCAAGCGGATCACTTGCAGCAAGCATAATGGAAACGTTTACTGGAATGTATCAGCAAAAAGTGAATTAGAACAGTGTGATCACAGGAGAAGTTCAAGCCATTCTCCGCGGGGATGTGATTTGCTACTGCCAGCCGATATTTCCGAGTGTGGAAGAGAGCAGATTGCGGCGTCGTTCAAAGGCTATTTTTGTGCAAAAGAATGGTTCAGTTGAAGCAGAAGATAAACGAGACGCTTCAGGCTGCGGATCTTCGTTAATCGGAATGCAGTTGCTAATTATCGAATGCAGTTACAGCCACGTGCTTCTTATCCTATCTGCTCCCGAAACCGTTTTCACGCCAGAAGTTCAGGGTACCTGTATGGATTGTACACGCTGTTGATGACAAGCGGGCTGCTGCTAATGCATACCTATGAACGAGCTCATGTGAAATGAAAAAAATCAAGTTTTTTGGAATTGCCCGAGCTTCATTCAGTC